TCTTTTCATTGTGACCGCCTTATGCAGAAATGATAATGTGCATCTGCTTTGAACAGGAAAGGTTCAGATATTTGCTATGTGCTTTGGAACTCTTACTAAGGGAGCAATCCTGGGCTCAGGTTCACTGAGCTGGAGGGCTCGGGATGTGGTAGAGCCACATCACGCTAACTCAATTCTCCATACCTTGCTCAGCCAGAGAGTTGTCAGTGAGTTTGGGCTGGTTTCTTCCTTGACCATTTGGCAGTGTTGTAATATTCCATCTTAACGTGATGAATGCCATTCTTCATTTTGGTATCTATCTATCATCTATCTATGCATGTGTATCTGACACCGGCCTACCTTTTGCTATAATGTCTTGTTTCTCTTGACAACGCAAGGCTGCGAATGATGTGTCACAGAGAAGGTCCCAAAAAAAGCAACATTGTGGAAGCAGGCACCCCCTACCTAGTTCCCTGCCCTGCTAGACCCAGAATACAGGGGCGGGTCCCAATGGTTGCGGAAGCCGAGGAGGAGGAAGAATATCCTAGTGTGAGTGAGTATAGGAGAAAGTGGTTTTGTTGTTGTTGCAAGTATCACCACCTTCCCTTTTTGGCCCATAGAAGCCTCTGCTGAAAGAGCATCAGTGGAAGGACACAACTGGATACAACTCCATGGGCTGTAGTTTGGTGGTAGCTGGTGTTTGTGGTCCTTGCCTATATTTCATAGCGCCTGCCCTGATCAAGTTTGCTCTTACTTCATTTCCCTCTTGCTTTGATTTCCTGCAGGCTACTTACATAGACTGCATTGTACCTGGTTTATGGACTATACTGACTAAACTGCATAGGCCAACTACATTTAGTAAAGCATTCAGAAACAGTCTGTAAGCATGTCCAAGAAAACATCCCTAAATTAGTCATATATTCACTGATATAGTACAAATTTATTGTTTATTTGCAGTGTGTTATACACAAGGGTAGGGATGCGGGTGGCGCTGTGGGTAAAACCTCAGTGCCTAGGACTTGCCGATCAGTGGTTCGAATCCCCGCGGCGGGGTGAGCTCCCATCTTTCGGTCCCAGCTCCTGCCCACCTAGCAGTTCGAAAGCATCCCTAAGTGCAAGTAGATAAATAGGTACTACTTTATAGCGGGAAGGTAAACGGCGTTTCCGTGTGCTCGCCAGAGCAGCTTCGTCACGCTGGCCATGTGACCCGGAAGTGTCTTCGGACAGCGCTGGCTCCCGGCCTCTTAAGTGAGATGAGCGCACAACCCTAGAGTCGGACACGACTGGCCCATACGGGCAGGGGTACCTTTACCTTTACCTTTATACACAAGGGTGGCTTTGCACTAGCAAAAATACTTTTGCTAGAACAAGTACAGACATCCCCATTTCCACCTATCCTCCCATGCAAATTGCAGCCCTCCATGCCATATCCTATAGAGTTCAAAAAGGTTCCCCAACACTCATGGGGGAATGAATAGGAGAGACTGGCAAAAATAAGAGGCCCTGCCTTGCAAAACCCAGATGCAACCCAGTGAAAAATATTGACAGGAATTCAACATCACACTAGGGCAAGCATTTTGGCTCCCCAGTCAGAACAACGCCCCTCTCCTCCTGCTACACACAGTTCTGGGGGTTCTTTTGGACCCCCCAACCCAACTAAAGGAGGCAGAGGGTGTTGAGGGAGAGAAGGGGGAAAGAAGGGGTTCCATTGATTAGGCTCTACTCATTAATTTGATTTATTATGTAAATCGAACAAAAAAATCTAGTGCTGATACGTGTCCTATATTCACTGATAGGAAGCCAATTAACACAATTTAAAATAGGAAACTCAATTGATTTGCCATTGCCATTAATTGTTTTTCATGTCACATAATTCAATACCATAAGAGTAGAGGAAGCATAAGATTACTTGCTTGCAATTAGGTTTATTGATATTTGTTTTTTTGTTTTTTTTTTAAATACCTCTATTAGAAAAAAAGAAAAGCTACACTGCTTTCTTCCTGCTGTCCTATATTAATTAATGCTTAATACTTATATTTTAAATGTTTTAGATTATATCAAGAACAAAGGAATCTGCCTTATTATGGACATGGAACAATAATTAAAATAATCAATACATCTAATCAATATACTACAGTGTATACAGTATCAATTGTATAAAATCAGAAATTCTCAAAACCCAACTGATTAAAAAAAGTTTGCAATAAATTTCTAAAGATTGCAGTGCTGCTGGTTTGATAGGTATCCCTAGAGAAGGAACTCCACAATGAAGGTAACACAACAAAAATGCTCCTTTCCTAATGACTGATAACATCTCTACTGAAAAGATACTCTAGTAGCAGATTTTTCTGAGTCTGAAAGTGAAAAAAATATTCCATTGACACAGATCTGTCCTTTGCGTGCAAGGAGAAGGGAGTGGGAATCTTAACAGGAAGTGGAATAAATGGGGCAACTAAATTAATAAGGAGGGCATATGATTCTATTTCTATAGTCAAAGGATCACGTACAAGGTGATGGGGAAGACTTCTGCCTGAGACCCTGGAAAGCCACAGACAAATTTGGGCAAGATGAACAGAATAAGGCAGTCATAAACTTGCCTCTTCCTCCAACAGAAACAAAGCAGACAGGTGGGTTTGCCAGAGTGTTTATCCACCTTTGCTGCAGAATACAACAGAATGCAAATCGGAAGCTCACATGCAGCGAACCTGTTGCACTAGCAGAAGCTAACAGAATAGGACTTCCCCCCTATCCTTATCCCCAACCTATTTGCTCTGAAGGGTTAGGGGGGAAAGCCCAAATATTGTGGGAAGGGAGGGGGAGTTGTTTAGGGAAGCTTTTAATGTTTAACAGACCACTGTATTTTAATACTTTGTTGGAAGCCTCCCAGAGTGGCTGCGGAAACCCAGCCAGATGGGCGGAGTACAAATAAATTATTATTATTATTATTATTATTATTATTATTATTATTATTAATATTATTATTATTATTATTATTAGGTAAGCCAAAATGCTCCTTAGTGTTACAAAGCTTTAACAGGTCCTCAGTTTGGTCAGCCAAATTCTGACGATAATAAAGGTGTGAAAGTCAAGTCAGCACCACTCCTGCTTGTCCCGCCATCAACACCTGAAATTTGAGCAATATCTGAAAGGAGTTGAAAATAATCTGGTTTGGCCTGTTCCCTCAGGCTCTTCTCTATCTTCCTATGATATCTTTAATATGGAAGCAACCTGATCCATTCTAGTTAAATACTTGGATTTAAGAGAAGTTTGCCATGAACTTCCATCTACAATTTGGTTGCAACAGTTTGGTTTCACTAATAAAAGGCAATGTCATTTAGTTAATGGGTAAATAAGGAAATGACACTAGGGAACACTGAATCGCAGTGTTTTCTTTTTTTATTAAAATGAAAATTATGCTGCTGTTTCGTAGGCGACCAGAAAATACTATCATTTTCAGCTTCCAATTATAGGTAGGTAAGAAAGAACATTTCACTAGCCAGCTACATTGACTGAAGTAATTAAATGATTCTCCAAAGGTTAAAATAATTATAAGCAGGAGCTTTGCAATATCTATTCTCATACATGGTGAACCTTTAGAGAAAACTACTTTAATTTCTTTCAGCGAAACAGTACAGCAAGAAATACTAAATGGCTCAGTTGGCAAGATTCCTGTATTGCAGGTGATTGGGCTAGTTGACCATCGTGGTCCCTTCCAAAGTCAGAGCTTTAGGCTAATAATTTTGTTTCATATTAAATTGTGCTTTTTTCCCCTGGGGGGACGCAGGGGTACAAATACCCCCTAAACCAGGGGTCAGCAACCTTTTTCAGCCATGGGCCGGTCCACCATCCCTCAGACCATGTGGGGGGACGGACTATATTTTTGGGGGAAATGAACGAATTCCTATGCCCCACGAATAACCCTGAGATGCATTTTAAATAAAAGGACACATTCTACTCATGTAAAAACACGCTGATTCCCGGACCGTCCATGGGCCTGATTAAGAAGCTGATTGGGCCGCATCCGGCCCCCAGACCTTAGGTTGCCTAGCCCTGCCCTAAATATTTTGTGAATCTAAGTTTGGCCTCATTGAGGGGCAGTATTTCAATATGCATAGGAAAATGAGAGTACAGTGGTACCTCGCAAGACGAATGCCTCGCAAGACAAAAAACTTGCTAGACGAAAGGGTTTTTTGAGCTGCTTCGCAAGACGATTTTCCCTATGGGCTTGCTTCGCAAGACGGAAACGTCTTGCAAGTTTGTTTCCTTTTTCTTAACACCGTTAATACAGTTGCGACTTGACTTCAAGGAGCAACTCATAGAACACGGTGTGGTAGCCTTTTTTGAGGTTTTTAAAGACTTTGGTGATTTTTGAAGCTTTTCCAAAACTTTCCCGACACCGTGCTTCGCAAGACGAAAAAAATTGCAAGACGACAAAACTCGCGGAACAAATTAATTTCGTCTTGCGAGGCACCACTGTACCCCTAAACATTTTTTTTAAGGACAAAAGCACTGCATGTAAGAATTTTCACCTTAAAAAGTGCAGTTAAAAGTCATTTGTAGTCCAATAAAATAAAATTTGGGGGGTGGGGAAGCAAAGGAAATAAGTTGGTCTTAAGGCCTGTAATGATAGTTCCTCAGAGACCCAAGATGGTAAAAAGAAGGCATAGGGCCACCGTGGAAAAGGACCTCTCCTTAGTGCCTGACAATCTAACTGCTCTCAGGGGCAGGCAGGTTAAAAAGAGTCTTCTTTACTGTTCATAAAAGGAAAAGGTGCCACCCAATTAGAGAGCTAAGATTGAACTTAGTTCCTCTCTCTGAACAAAAGTGAGGTTTCAGCAAAGCACAAGGAAATCTTATGTAACAGTGTTTTTCAAACTTTGTCACCCAAACGCAAGAAACTTTTTGGGGACTTAAGTCTCCCAAAAGGAAGATAGGGAGTATTTTATCACAATGTCAATCTCTTAAGCAACCTAATTAACTGATTTGGAAAGTGCTTTGAATAATTAAATACATAAACTCACCAATTTTCAACGCCAAAATGGATCGATGACTGGAGGATTAGAAATGCAAGACTCCTCAAAATTTCCCTGTTAAAAAGTTCAGAAACATACAGTTAACATTTTAACATTTACAACAACCTAACAATGCATATGAATAGAAGAACTTTTATATCAAACAGCATCACAAACTAGAGTTTATGCTGAAGCTGTGATACAAAATTGTGCAGTTTGTAGAAGATGAAGGTCATATGCATTTATTACATTACATGATTCATAGCACTTTCCCCCAATTAAAATAACTTAAGTTATATTCATATAATTAGTGCCATACACATCTATGACCAAACTCCTCTACTAAAAATAATTCTGCAACCTGTATTTTCTAATGCCAAAATATTAAGCTTCTCATCATACCTATATTTCTACATTAGCCAATACTCAGGAGTTATTTCCAGTGCCCTATGTACTTACGTAGGCATGGTGTTAATCAGCCTGGTAAATCACCTTAATGGTTTGTAAAAGCATGACTATATTATTGCAGCCCACAAGCTAATCTGCACCTAGTCAATTACCATATGGCCTTAGATTCTAGAGCAGGCATAGGCAAACTCGGCCCTCCAGCTGTTTTGGGACTACAACTCCCATCATCCCTAGCTAATAGGACTAGTGGTCAGGGATGATGGGAATTGTAGTCCCAAAACATCTGGAGGGCCGAGTTTGCCTATGCCTGTTCTAGAGGCATTACTTAACAATTTCCACATCTAACCAAAATCAGTACATTCCACACATTTGTATAAGATGTGAACAGACTTTAGTATAAATTAAGCCAGATATGTGCTACTTCAGCTGTGTACACATTCCCGTTTACTTTGCATCCAGTGAACTACCACAACAATCAACATTTGTCTTGCAGCTTATTGATAAATACTGCAATCCAAACCAGCCTCAATCTGATTTGAAAAATGTTATCCATGTGAAGACATCCACCACACTCCTTATGCACCCGCTGGTACAGAAGGGCAGCAGGTGACCTGGAAACACATGCAATCATACCCATGTGTACATTCAAATACTCCTTGAAACTCAGCAGGAGGAAATGACCTCTCTACATTTTAAGCCAGGAATGTGCACCCAGCCTTATTCTAAGGACCATGTTACAAATAAATCGAGACATAGAAGAACACGCCTAAAGTCCATATCACATTAACATAGCGTGATAGTAGTTTCCTGAACAAAGCAGATAGACTCACTTGCAGGGGCAGACTTGGGCAATATGGCACCCTGTGCAAGGACAAATAAGGAGCAGGTTTGCTACTTTAGGGCTGAGAAAAAGTGAGTTCAGCTGCTCCCTGCTCCCCGCCTCTCCTCTCCTCAGTGGCACCCCCTTTGACTTGATGTCCCGTGTGGTCACACTGTTCTAAGTTCGCCTCTGTCACTTGTGTACTTGTCCATGAGCTGAATGCCTACTTTTTGCATGTCTAGGGTGATGAGTACAATAAGAGCACTTTTCTACCCTATTGTTGCCATGGCCAGGGAACAACCATCAACTGCATGGGGAGTAGCTGCCATGAGCAAAGCAATGGTGCAAATGGGCCTTTTAAATTCTGTGATCAAATCGTTTACCCCCCCCCCAAAAAAAAACATTAACGGGGAAACTGGGGCATTATTATTTGATAGGTAAAGGTAAAGGGACCCCTGACCATTAGGTCCAGTCGTGACCAACTCTGGGGTTGCGGCGCTCATCTCGCTTTATTGGCCGAGGGAGCCGGCGTACAGCTTCTGGGTCATGTGGCCAGCATGACTAAGCCGCTTCTGGCGAACCAGAGCAGCGCACGGGAACGCCATTTACCTTCCCGCCAGAGCAGTATCTATTTATCGACTTGCACTTTGATGTGCTTTTGAACTGCTAGGTTGGCAGGAGCTGGGAGCGAACAACGGGAGCTCACCCTGTTGTGGGGATTCGAACCACTGACCTTCCGATCGGCAAGTCCTAGGCTCTATGGTTTAACCCACAGCGCCACCCACATCCCTAATTATTTGATAGATAGAGGCTATAACATGCAGTGTGTTTGTGTGTGTGTGCACGCGCACATGTACACCCACACACAGAGGCAACTTGCAAATTACATATGTTTAATTTGTGCACATTCGGCTTTATGCGCTTGGCAAAAATTGAAAGGGGACAGGAGTCTGGAGAAAAAGAATTTGGCAACCCCACCTACCATTAAACCCAATGCATTTTGACTATACACAATTTTGGCTTTACACGCTATCCCCATAACATAATCCCCATGTAAGTTGAGAGTTGCCTGTATATACTTTACTGTTGCAGTTCTCTTAAATAAACTTAAGGGGTATAGAACCATTTAGCCATTGAACCAACTTTCTTCCTAGTCATATCACATATATCCATTTTGCAAATAGCTTTGGACATTTTTGAAAAAGAATATTGTTAATTTTTATGTCAAAAGCAGTGAGTTGACAGTATGTATACATTACTGACAACTGGTGTCCCTGGTGCCCATTTGCACATCTTGCTCCCTGATATCCAAGACATCTAAATGGTAGTCTGTTGACAATGTGAATTATAGCTCAATTGCCACCTAAAAAATTGTGGATCCTTCAGACATGGAATGCCTGGGATATGCAAGCATCTCATTTGAGCTTCAGAATCTTTCATTAGCCCTTCACCATTATGCAAGAGACAACATTCATTCTGAAATGTGATCCAACTATTTAGATGTCAGATAAAATAAGATGCATTACTTTATATACCAGTACAAAACACTCACACCACAAAATGGATTTTCCAGAGTAATCGAGAAAAAACATAAGAAAAAGTAGATAACAATGAAGAACCTAGCTAGCACAGTACCACTAGCCAAATGCCAAAATATTACCCTGCACTTGTTGCCCAGTGATGGATTTAAAAATAAAAATAAAATGCAAAATAAACTTTAGTTGGAATGGTAAAACCTTAAAGACTATAAACATTCCCATGTACTTCACTACCATCACATTCATTAACTTCAGAGCTGTTTGATAAAGAAGCAGCAAAAGAGGACAAGCAAGGTTCTTGCAATTCTTCCTTCTCTGTTTATCTTCAAACCTTGAAAGTGAGCTTTATGAGGTTCCCCATATTGTGAACTGTTCAACAACAGCAGAAGACTGAATTCCAAATCCTTAATGTTTCAGTTGCCTCAGGCCATGGCTTTTCTCACTAAGGCACAGACATTTTCAGCATCTATATTGCGTGCCTAGGCAGAGACCCCCCAACCCCAGGTGACACCCGCGTGGAATAGTGACTCATGACAACGTGTTATGGGATGAAAAATTGGCCACAACTTTATTAAACTTTCAGATGTAGGAAGACCTTGGCTTAGGCATTGGGCGTTTATCCCTCCCAGTCACCAGCTGGGGATCTGGGGCACATCAGGGTTAACCAATCTGTTTGGGGATTGGGCTGGCTCTGGAAGACGTATGTTTAAGCAGAGAGCCTGCACCCCATTTCACAGCAACACAGGGGAGTGTACTGACAATCTTTCAGCGTATGGCCAGTGACTCCCCTCAACACATCCCCTTTAATGGGGAATGTTCTGTTGAGCATCCATTTCACCTTCAAACAAAGGGACAGTGTAGTCCATTCCGCTTCCACTGTGCAAACCTGCTCCTCCCAGCTACCAGCAGAGTAACTTGCGTGGCATGTGCCTGTGTGGAAGAAATCTTAGCCATGCAGTAAAACACACGTACAGCTGCTTCCTATTCTACAATGCTTTTATTGTACAGCAGCAAAAGCAACAAACAGTTCAGCCAGGAGAGAGCGAAGACATGAGGCTTCTCCTGTCGCAGCAAAACAGAAAATAAAAAACATTCACATAACAAAGATGTGAAGACACCCCCCCCCCAGTGACAGGACGCCATTTCCCGAGCTGTTAACCCTGTAAGGTCTGGGTATCCTCCCCTTGGATCGCCTCCGCGGGGGTTGGTGTCACCGCTTCAGCCCCCCCCCATTTAGGGAAGGTAGACTAAAGGATTCCGCCCAAGGCCTATAGCCACCAAAGTTGTGACATTTTGCTACGGGGAAGGCAAAACCTGCCAATGCAGGGGAAATTCCTTCACAGTCCTTCAACCATCATAAGACAGTAGCAGCACCTGCATACCTGTAAAGAAGAAGTTATCCTGAATAAAAGGCCTAAACAAAGGGAGGGGAGGGTTGGGGGAAGCTCTGGAGCTGACTCAGAGCTCCCATGTGGGCTCCACCCCCTCTTATGCTTGAAGAGTGGACCCAACCATTACTTGGTCCGCTCCCCTGGCCACGCCTCCCCAGTCGCAATTGGTTCATCCAAGAAATCTTCTCTGAACTAATAACCTAAAGCTTAAACATGGTAGGACAGTGGTTGTATACTACTTCTGTATATCCTCCTCAGCCCTGTATACATTTATATGTATAAATGGTGGAAACCTCAAGGTTTGCGACTTGGGGAGGTGGTCCATGAGTGCTCTGCTGGGAGTCACGTAGGATTCAGGGGGCACGGCACAAAGGGCGTCCTCCATTTGATGTGGAGAGCGGTCATTCTCCTCCTTACATTACCCTTGGACGCACTTCTGGGATAAAGTGAGAAGTCCTGGGTCACATGAGGAAGAGCCCACACTGCATCTCTAGCCCACACTAGAGTCATCCTTTTGGAAATGAAAGAGTACACAGGGCTGAAATCAACAAAGTTGTCCCATTAGCAGAAGGATATACAATGGCGTCTTCCCCAACCTTCTAGTGCAGATGGGGCCTTGTAGGGAGAGAGAAACATAAGTTGGGAAGTATTTTCACTAACATGATGACTTTGTTGAATACAACCCACAGTATGGGTGCCTTCCATATGGTCCTTGTCTCTCATCCCAGTTTAGGATTCCTAATTTTAGTAAGCTTTAGAAAATGGAGAAGCTTAAAGGGCTCTAGCTTAATAGTAACAATAAACCATCTAGTCCAACTTCCTGCATTAAGAGAACAAGTTATTCCTTACTTAAACATTTGCTCTCTTTGCTTGCCATCTGCTTTGCAAAAGAACAAAAGCATTAAGAACAAAGCGTGC